GGAGGAGGAGGAGGAGGAGGAGGAAGGTGAGCCAGGAAAGGAATCTTGGGGAAAAGATCTGGAGGCCAGAAAGCAAATCTCCTGGGGAACTGGAGTCAGCTCCTGGAGCCGGGCTGAGGTGAGGAAGAAAACCTCTACCTGGCTGGCTGCAGGCAGCAGGCACACTGCCCACGATGACACGACAGGAGTCCCATGTCACTTGGATTTTTCCAGTAACTACACACACAAAAAAATACAGGGCTGGGGATATCACTCAGTGGTAGAGCAAGTGCCTGGCATGTACAAGGCCGTGGGCTCACCCCCTGGAAGTTCAAGGCCAGCCTGAGCAAAAACTGTCTCAAAATTAAAAATAATTAATAATAATATTAATAATAATAATAGGCTAGGAATGTAGCTCAGTGATAGAGCACCCCTGGGTTCAATTCCTAGTATTGCCAAAAAGAAAGAAAGAAAGGAAGGAAGGAAGGAAGGAAGGAAGGAAGGAAGCAAAGCAGCAGCCAACAAGGCTCAAGCTGAGTGACCAAGACAAATATGGTTGAGGAGGTCAGAGAGGTAAGGACCAGAACACACAGTCCTATCAGGTCACTGTCAGGACTAAGACTTTAGCTGTGAATGACATGGGAACTCAGTAGCGTTTGGGGCAGAGGAGCAACATGATCTGACATGTTTAGAAGGATCGCTCAGGTTGATGTATTGAAAATCAAACCAGAAATGGGCCTGGAGGAAAGCAGGGAGCCCAGGTGGGAAGCTGCCGCACTAACCCTGGGAAGGGATGAGGCCTGATTCCCAGCCCCACCCCGCCATGCTGGGGATCTTCCCCCAGGCCCGGCTCATGCTAGGCAGACACTCCATCACTGAGCTACATGGCTAGCCCTCACTTCCAGAAATTTTATTTCATTCTTTTTCAAATCTACCCACAGCAGGCACAGTGACATGCACCTATAGTCTTGCCTCTGGGAGGCTGAGGCAGGAGGAGCTTGAGCTCAGAAATTCAAGGCCAGGAGGACAACTGAGCAAGACCTCATCTCAAAAAATAGGCTGGGTGTGGTGCACACCTGTAATTTCAACTACTCAGGAGGCCGAGGATCACACGTTCAGAGCCAGCCTGGGCAATGTGATGAGTCCCTGTCCCCAAATGAAAAATAAAGAGGGGTTGAGGATGTAGCCTAGCATGTGTGAGGTCCTGGACTCAATCCACAGTACAATAATAGATAAATAAAAAGGGGGCTGGGATGTGGCTCAAGGGGTAGTGCACTCAGCTGGCATGTGTGAGGCACTGGGTTCGATCCTCAGCACCACATAAAAATAAATAAGTGAAATAAAGGTACTGTGTTCAACTACAACCAAAAAATAAATAATTTTTTTAAATGTCTACCCAGACAGTCTCTTATTCTATGCTCATGTTTTTAATTATTGCTAATTATCCCAAACACATTTTTGTAAGTTTTACCTAATAATTATACTTTACAAAGCTCTTGGAAGGGTAATTCTGTTATCCGACATTCCTGCTAATGCTTGCTGTTGTTGCTTTCACACATTGTGAAATTTTACATGTCGAGCCCAAATTCCACAGGCCTTTTTATGTAGTAATTTTGTGCAAGCTGCGTAAGCATATCTCTCTATAAAAATGTTTAGCTTGCTTTCTAATTATATCTATGGTGTCTCAGACAATATTTACATGTCCTGAGTTTTTTCTTCAATATCACAAACTTTTCTATTAAAAAAGATTCATTATCTAACATTCAAATTTAACTGAATTTTTTTTGTGTGTGTACTAGAGATTGAATCCAGTGGTGCCTTATCACTCAGCTCAATCTCTAGTCCTTATCATTTTTTTAAAAAAGTATTTTAGTTGTAGTTGGACACAATACCTTTATTTTATTTATTTATTTTTATGTGGTGATGAGGATCGAACCCAGGGCCCCCGCACGTGATAAGCGAGTGCTCTACTGCTGAGCCACAACCCCAGCTCCAGTCCTTATTATTTTTTATTTTGAGACATGGTCTCACTAAATTGCTGAGGCTGGCCTCAAATTTGCAATATCCCTGCCTCAGCCTCCCAAGTAGCTGGGATTATAGATGTGTGTCACCACAACCAGCTTCATTGGATTTCTATATTTTATCTTATGTAAAATATTTTATCTTCTATAGCTTATCTTCCCACCACTTGGGGTAAAAATAGTCTTATTTCCCTTCCCCAAACTGTTGTTAAAACTTCAAAACTGGCGTGTGTGTGCGTGCGCACACACATGCGCGCGCACACACACACACACACACACACACACATACACACAATGGAAACCCCCTTACATCATCTCCAGAATCCATTTCTTTGGGGTTTTGCTTTCCTCTTGGTTGTTGCCTCCGGGGGATTCCCCTTGCTTTCGAAAGGAAGTGTTCAGATGAGGGTTTTCTGCCTGTCGCCTTCCCGTGGTCCTGGCTGGCTGTCCATTTGAATGGACCAAGGGCGACCTATACAGCCACAGTGGAAGCTGATGTTTCAACAGGGGTGGCATCCGCTCAGGCCCAAGTTGGACTGGAGTCAGTCGGACGATTGCACTGACTGAAAAGTTCTCTCTTTCCCTTGTCCTGCAGCGGAGCCCTCTGGACCAGCCAGTGGACACAGAAGGGCCCCCACCCATGGAGTTCTGCCTGGACACGGAGGCAGTCAATGGCTCAAAGAATGACTTGAATTTCAACCCCATGAAGGATTACATGGTCCTCAGCCGTCCTCAGCAGGTGGCGATTGCCGTGCTGTGCACCCTGCTGAGCCTGCTAAGTGCCCTGGAGAACCTGACCGTGCTTTACCTGATTCTGTCCTCCCGCCGACTCCGCAGGAAGCCCTCATACCTGTTCATTGGCAGCTTGGCTATAGCTGACTTCCTGGCCAGTGTGATCTTCGCCAGCAACTTTATCAATTTCCACGTCTTCCACAGCGTGGATTCCAAGGCCGTCTTCCTGCTGAAGATCGGTAGTGTGACCCTGACCTTCACCGCCTCAGTGGGCAGCCTGCTGCTGACCGCCATTGACCGCTACCTCTGTCTGCGCTACCCACCTGCATACAAAACTCTACTCACCCATGGGAGGGCCCTGGCAACCCTGGGCATCATGTGGGTCTTGTCAGCTTTGGTCTCCTACCTGCCTCTCATGGGGTGGACCTGCTGTCCCAGTCCCTGCTCTCAGCTTATCCCGTTGGTCCCCGACAACTATATCCTGGGCTGGCTCCTGCTGGTTGCCATTCTCTTCTCCGGCATTATCTACACCTACGGGCACGTCCTCTGGAAGGCCTATCAGCATGCAGTCAACTTGGCCGAGCACCAGGACAGACAGCTGCCAGGGATGATCCGTATGAGGCTGGATGTGAGGTTGGCCAAGACCCTGGGGCTGCTGCTGGCTGTGTTGGTCCTATGCTGGTTCCCGGTACTGGCCCTCCTAGCCCACAGCCTGGTGGCCCCGCTGAGTGACCAGGTCAAGAAGGTCTTTGCCTTCTGCTCCTTGCTGTGCCTCGTCAACGCCATGGTCGACCCTGTCATCTACGCCCTGCGGAGTCGGGAGATCCGCTCTTCTGCCCACCATAGCCTGGCCCGCTGGAAGGGCTACCTGAGAGGCCGTGGTCCTGAAGGAAAGGAAGAAGCCCCCAAGTCCTCCGTCACCGAGACAGAGGCTGACATGAAAATCACCTAAGGACCCCAGGTCAGAGGTCCATTCTGCTCAGATTGCTGAGGAGGCCTCTTCCCATTTTTAACCCAAGTCAGAAATCATTTTGTTCCCCGGATGAAGGAGCGCGGTCCTGGCCCTCTCGACCTTTGTAAACCAGCCTCAGGACTTGGAACTGACCCCTTTGTGCTGGGGAGTGCTGGGACTGGTTCCTGGAGGGTGGCCTGGCCGTGTCCACCTGCACAAGTCTGGGGCTTTGTGAAGAGTGACAAAGGCATCAAAGGCACAGGGCCCAGGACAGGCTCACTTCATGTCGGGTCAGGAAAACCTTCCCAACAAGTGGCTTAGTGCCTGCATCCCCCCAGGGACCACAGAAGGAGGGAGCATCTGGCTCGGCTGGCTCAGAGGGAATGGGAGGAGGACCGTGTGTCCCGGGGCCTTGGCTATCAGGTGGGATGGTCAGCCAGGGCTCGTGTCTGACTGATCATCGGGGCCTCCTTTGTTCTGGAAGCATGAAAGCCCCTCCATCAGGTCACCCTTTCCCACTGAGGCCCAAGAAGTTGTGAGTTGATGAGGATCAAGGGGGTTGACCCACTTCTTGCAGAGACAAATGACAAGACTTCAGTTCAGGGCATCCTGTTAGGGTAAAGGCCCTCCTGAGGCCCTGACACCCTTGCTCATGCCATGATTACCCCCAGATCCCTGGGAGGAGACACAGATACTTCCAAAAGTCATACTGAGCCACGGCATCCACTTGGTGGTGCTATGAGGAGCAAGCAGTGTTCCAGGGTAACCCAGCTGCAGGGAAAAGGAAGCTATTCACAGGTTCTCTAAGTCCCAGAGTGTTCTCAGTCCCCACTCAATGCAGCCCCTTTGCCTGCACCAGACACCTAGAATGCCCAGCAAGTGGGAGGGGGCAAGGCTGACTTTTCAGTCTATGAACCACAGCAAGAACTGACCCAGGCTTAGGAGGGTCTGCAGGGACCGTACTTTACGTGTCTGTGAGGCTGGGTTCCCAGCAGACAGGCGTCAGACAGGAGGCAAGAGGAATTGTTGGCGGCATGAAGGATGCAAAGGAATTCAGGCGCAGTCATTTGGGACCACAGATGCAATAAAAGAAAATATATTGACTAACCGTGTTTCCATTTAATTATCCAAGACAACATGTTCCCCGTCCCCCCTCCTGTCCCATCCGTCTTGTGAACAAGTGCTGGGCTCCGTGCTTGGGAGAGGAAATCCAGCCACAAGACTCCACCCCAAGTCTCATGGGGCTTGTGTTCCATGTCTGCTTAAGAAGAAAGTCAGCAAAA